CGTCAATCTCACCAAAACGAAAGAGACCCCCGAAATCGCCAGCGAAGTCGAAGAAAGTTTTCAAATCCGAGAACGAAAAGACCCAGACGAGTAAGAGGAGCAAGGAGCCAACCGCGGAGAAATCCAAGAAGACGTCCGCGGGCAACAAGGACACTAAGGAACGCAGGTCATCCAGCGGGAAGCGCGACTCGGACGACGAGGAGCTAAAGACCACCAAGTCGTGGAACAAGGTCGAGGAAGGCGTCGGGGTTGCGATCGGTCGCCGGAAACGCACCGCTGCCCTTCAGCTATACTATTGGTCCAGTTCGAGCGACGAGGAGGAGGCGCCGGAGCCGACCCCGGCGCCCGAGGAGGAGGAGGACGATCGGCAGGAGCAGCACGGATGGATAGTGGGCGACTCCCACAAGCGGATGATAACGATGCTGGCGATGGAGAAGCAGCTGAAGGAGAAGCGACGTAGGAGCGAGGACGAATTCGAGCCCGGCAAGGCGAAGAGCAAGAAGCATCGGAACAGCACCTCTTGATACGTGTTTCACGATTAAACCCGATCAAATCCGCGCGACGGGCGCGATAGACTACGTCATCCTCTCTATTATAGAATAAATATGTAAAACTGTGAAGACGAGAAAGTGGAGACCATCTCTACGTTTCTCTTTAATGAGAATTTACGTTCTGTATCTTCCATGATTATTCGTGGTGGATCTGTTTGGGTAAATAGAAGCAGTGTGTGGTGGAGACAAGTGCGATCTATGAAAAAGTATTTGTTGTGTTCGATCTTTGTTTCTTCGTTTTTTCATGTTTCTTAGCGAGTGTGTTGAGCGAGTGGAAGTGATTCAGGCGTGAAGGAGGAAAAAAAAAGAAGATATAAAATGTACATAGTTGCTTGGCGTTAGAGATTAGAGATTAGAAGAGTTATCCTCCCCCGTTTCGATTCTAAGAAAAATATGCATGTATAAATAAAAAAAATTCGAGCTCTTATAAATACCGGAAGATATAGACTGAACGTGAGAAGTAGCGGAAAGTGAGAAAGCACTCTTAGACAATACTAGGACATTTGTAACGTTTAGTTGTACGTAGGGGAGTCTCCCGCGAGAGAGAAAACGGGTGAGGTGAAGAAACGGGGGGAAACCAGTCACAGTCGCTTATTTAGGAAAAGGACAACGTAAAATCGGGTCCAATCGAGTTTAGCCACAGCTTCTACCAGCTTTTTTCGTGATTCGTAAAACGTATTTCTTCGTATTCTTGCATATTCTTACATGTTCGTACGTATTCTTACATATCGCAATGAATGAAGTAAAAAGAGAAAGAATTTCTCGGATAAAATGTTGTCTCGAGACAAAAGTACCATGTTCGGGGGGCTTAAGCGCTCGCTACGAACGAGCGGAATCTTTCTTGACCTTTTTCACGTTATTTTTACGAATTTTTCTAGATCTCAAGCTTGCGTGCGCGGCCGGCCGTGAAGCCACGTGGACACGCGGTCCACGGAGATACGGATATGCTTTATTAATGCATAAAACGCGAATATTAGTTTCTTTTCCTTTCATACTCGCCTCGTGCACATAGGACATAAGTATGTAGATTTTCATATATTATGAAAAAAAATGTTGTATATGTTATAAGCAAGTGACAGAAAAAAAAACAAACGGTTATAGACTTTAAATGTAAATGTACTGCCATAATATATCATATATGTATATATATCATAATATATATATAAAATTGTATATGTATAATATGATATATAATGTTATATATATAATTATAATATATATATTATATAAAATATATATAATTATATATATACATATATAATACGAAAGCCTATGCGAAATAGTAATTAATATTATTTCTGTAAAGATTAAAAAGAAGAAATCTTTAGCACAAAACTAGGCGACGACCCAATGTAAATAGAGCATATTTTCAATGCGTCTGGAAAAGTATGTTTTGTAATATAAGGATTGCAAAGAAAAATAAAATTATTCGACAATTCCGTCTTTCTATTTAAATAAGAAAGGAAAGATCTATTTAAATGCATAAGTTTCGATATATTTTTATTCGAAAGGAAAATTTGCATCGCGCTTTATAAATAATATAAATAATATAGTATTTCTCTATCAAAAATATATTATTTTATGATTTTATTATATCTGATTTTTCATAGAGATTAATTTTTTATTTATTTGCTTATTAAATCTTTCTCTTTAAATTACACATTTTTCTACTCTAATTCAAATTTGGCACGTTCTTTTTTTTAAATGTCCAAGCAGTGTCGTCACACGTAGAAATGTCCCTTTAAATTTAAATGGCGCGGCAACACTGCCGTTTTATGGCTGTTTGAACGCTAGGGAATTACGCGACGGCCAATCGGAGCCTTCCGACTTTCCGGAAGTGACCGTCCGACGGTCCAGGAAATTTTTCGCTGTATATTGGTATCACTCCGAGATTGGTTAGGGACGAGGGACAATCTTGCGGCAATCATGCCTCTCATGCCGTCCGCGGGCGACGTTTCCGAGCAAGTGGATGAATCGAGATGCATGTAATGCCCGGGATCGTCGGCTTCTCGAGGACGTTTTACACCTTTGATTTCCTGACTTACGTCACACGTACCTCGTTTCACGCATGAACGTGAAATTTCACAAATATCCGCCGCCTATCGTAAACGCCGTTATTCGCCAACGACGGGCGACGATTATACTCCGATAAAATGGAGCAAATCGTATGTGGAAAATTCGGGTGAGATAGACGTGATTATTATTGAAATTAAACGAACCGATGAAATGTTCTCTCATTAAATTCGTGCGTTACGCAAAATCATTCAATTTAATCGAATATAATTCATATTTCTTGCGACGGAGCAGCCGCTTGCTCCAATAGGTTAGCTCGTAATACCCCATCGTTAGAATTCACGTGTGAAAAGATACGTTTTTTAATCATCGTCATTCGTTTCAAGTTATATTTATACTTTATTGCCTTCTGTATGCTTCCCTCCTAAACTTCTCTTTCCTTTGACTCTTTTTAAGCCGCATAATTTTCGTTGCGCAGAATAATTTATGACTCCTTTTTCTTTTAATTGAGTCAACGTGTGTTTCTTTTCAGCCATGGCATTTTACTAGTCTCCAGAACCTCCAGGCACCCGATAACGATTGTCACCACGCGGAAGCTGATGTCCGGAAAATTTAATAGACACTGTAGACCACTGCTGGCGTCGCCGCAACTACGTTACTTCGCAAATCCGCATCGTGGATACGCGATGTTGATAACGAGGATATTAAGAGGAGCGTTAAAAATTCGATACATTCTCTTAGGAGGTGCGGTCGGTGGTGGCGTTACCTTGCAGAGGGTAAATGTTACACAAAATGATTCGATTGAGCTGTATGTAATTCATGTGTCTCTTGTAACGGAGTTTTGCATTTTCCAATTGGCACCATTCCTGCAGTTCTGTCCATTATACTTTATGAAATGTTAAAATGTAATTGTACTCGTTAAGTATTATAATTATTTTATCGCACAGAAATACGAACAGTGGAAGGAGGGATTGCCGGATCTGGGATGGCTAGAAAATCTGATGCCCAGTGAAAAGCGATGGCAAGATTTCCGTGAGTCGCTCATGACGATGAGGACCAATGTGGCCGACAAGATCGAGATCGGTAAGCGGGACGAATATATAATCGTTCAGATCTGCGAAAATGTGAGGCAAAACGAAACGCGTTAACGATTTGTGATTTGAAAAAACTGACCAAATGCAAACAGATCCACGTATAAAGGAGTTTGGGGTAGCTAAATATCAAGAGTATAGGAATCGGTTGTCTCAAAGATTGGATGACGCTATTAAGGCAGCAGAAAGTCAAAATAGCGACCAAGAGAATAGCTCGATACAGAGTGAGTCTATTGACGAATTTTTTTTTCTATTTATTGATACATATTCGTACATCACATAACTCCAAAGAACCTATAATTATTTACCAAATGTCCTATTTTATCCGTTCATTCCTTTGTTACATATTTCTCCATTTGCCTGACATTTTCTTACCTGCTAATAATCCTAATCATCACGAGATATGAATTGATACCATTATACCTAGTTTCTTTTTTCTATTTCCTTTTTTGATTTGTTCACATATAACATTTATCTAAATTTATTGCTTGTATGCAAAAATGAGCATGATAAAGCAATTTGTGTGTCAACATTGATATATATATTTTTATCTATTATCTGTAAAATTTAATTGGAAAATTTATGTTCTCAAAAGGAAATTTATTTATATTCTTGTAAAATGCGAATTTTACGTAAATTTAATGGTATGTAATTCATTACCGCAGAGCACTATTTCACATGCATGTCGTTAATTTATCGTGGTCTGTTCTGTTCAGGTGCATTTGATACCATCTCAATGGTAGCAAAACAAACTTATTCAGGTGTGTAAAGACTTTGAAATTATTTCACCCATATTCTGTCCATTCAGCATTTTATAGACAAAGTGGTTTCTTTAAAATTGAAAATTAATTAATGTGGCAAATTTTTGCTGGCAAACAAGCTATACTTACATATTAAATATAGAATCTAATGACGATGGATGCACATTTTAAATACTGAATGGGACAGAGCCATTATTCGCTGCTTTTATTATATTGCATTAGCTTGCGTACAAAGCAACATCATTTTTTCCTTTTTTTTTTAGTTTTATTTTGTCATACTCACAAAAAATTGCTTATGCACGTAAAATAGTCTTATTAATTTATCACGTCAGTTGATACCAGCTTTCTTGCATTTGCAGAACAAATTAAAAATTGTTCAAATTAAAAATACGTGCTGTCTTATTTTTAAGCAGAAACAAAAGAGCAGTTGTCCAAAAATGTGGTTGCCTTTGCGCGTCCATTGGCTAGTGATAATACTGAGGAGGAACGTAAGAAAGCTCGTACGTACATGTCATTCATTTACGATTTCTTCACGATCAAAAATTATTCGGCATTCCAACAATGTCTTCTTGTTTTTCCAATTGAAGAATCTTCGCAACAGAGGATGGACGCCATGCAGGACGAGCTGATGCAGATGCAACTAAAGTATCAACGCGAAATAGAGAGACTGGAAAGAGAGAACAAAGAATTGCGCAAGCAGATACTTCTACGAGGGAGCCAGAAATTTAACAACAAAAAGATCAAGGTAATTTGCACACATATTGCGTTAACATATGTAACTTGTTTCAATTGTATTCCACGCTCGTTTTGTCCTTTACAGAAGTCATTAATTGATATGTACAGCGATGTCTTGGACGAGCTTAATGATTACGATAGTGCCTATTCCACTGCTGATCATTTACCTAGAGTAGTAGTCGTTGGTGATCAAAGCTCTGGTAAAACATCCGTGCTTGAAATGATTGCTCAAGCAAGGATATTTCCGAGGTATTTGTTTCTTTATTTTATGTTATTTTTATATATATTATTTGATTATAAAGAATAATGATACTGTTATTAATAATATTATTTACATTAATTTATTATATTCTTATTTAATATTAATAATATTATTATTATCATCTTGGTTGTACAGAGGTGGAGGTGAAATGATGACGAGAGCGCCAGTTAAAGTCACATTGAGCGAAGGTCCCTATCATGTAGCACAATTCAAAGATAGCTCCAGAGAATTCGACCTCACGAAAGAGTCGGAGTTAGCCGATCTCAGGCGGGAGGTAGAACTGCGTATGAAGAATAGCGTTAAGAATGGAAAGACAGTCAGCCCGGATGTCATTTCTATGACGGTGAAAGGACCGGGCCTTCAACGTATAGTTCTAGTCGATCTACCTGGTATTATTAGCGTATGTATATAATGCTTTTATATCATAAATTTTCAAAAAAATTCCACTTACAAAATTTTGTTTTTTGAGACAGACAGTAACCGTTGATATGGCGGAAGACACTCGCGAGGCAATCAGACAAATGAGCCAGCAGTACATGAGTAATCCTAACGCAATCATTCTTTGCATACAAGACGGCTCCGTCGACGCGGAAAGAAGCAACGTGACCGATCTCGTAGCTCAAATGGATCCGTCGGGCAAAAGAACGATCTTCGTCTTGACAAAAGTACGAAACGTTATTTTCTTTTTGCTAAAAAAAAATTAATGGATGCAGATATATCACTGCAATTGTTGTTTTCTTACGACAGGTTGACATGGCAGAAGAGAATTTGACTAATCCCGAGAGGTTGCGCAAAATATTATCCGGTAAACTATTTCCGATGAAGGCGTTAGGCTACTTCGCCGTAGTCACTGGTCGTGGCAGACAGGACGACAGTATACAAACGATCAAGGATTACGAGGAGCAGTTCTTCAGAAATTCTAAACTCTTCAAGTAAGTCTAGACAAAAGTGTATTCGAGAGCGATGACATTAAATGCGATTGTTAATGAACTTCTGATTATTCAGAGATAGTCTAACAATGTCCGGTCAAGTGACTACCAAAAACTTGAGCTTGGCGGTAGCCGAATGCTTTTGGAAGATGGTCCGTGAAACGGTGGAACAACAAGCGGACGCGTTCAAAGCCACGAGATTTAATTTGGAGACGGAATGGAAGAACAATTTTCCGAGGTAAATAATTCAAAGAAGCTATTTTGATTTTGTCAACTTATCTTATTACGTATTTAGGTTGAGAGAGCTGGACAGAGACGAGCTTTTCGAAAGGGCGCGGGGCGAAATTTTGGACGAGATAGTCAATTTGTCCCAGGTATCGCCGAGACACTGGGAGGAAGTGCTGATGGCTCGAAATTGGGACAAAGTCAGTATGCACGTTTTCGAGAATATTTATCTGCCTGCTGCTCAAAGTGGAAATCCAAGTACAGTATATATTGATAGATGGATTCTTTCTCCATTGAACAGACGGAAACTTTTCTCTAAAGGTAACGTTCTTCTGTTACAGATACATTCAATACCACTGTCGACATTAAGCTCAGGCATTGGGCAGAACAACAACTGCCTGCGCGTAGCGTTGAAAGTGGATGGGAATGTTTGCAGCAGGAATTTCAGAATTTTATGTCACAAGCTCGACTTAGTTCGGATCACGACGATATTTTCGACAACCTCAAGAACGCCGTAGTAAACGAGGCAATGAGGCGTCATTCGTGGGAAGAGAAGGTGAATAAAATTTTTCGGTTTATTTCCATCTTTTTTATTCTCTCTCTTATAAAAAGTCATAATATTAGTAAATTAGGGATATCAAAAGGCATATTTCTTTTCTCAGGCATCCGAAATGCTACGCGTTATCCAACTTAACATCTTAGAAGATAGAAGCGTCAACGACAAACGTGAATGGGACCAGGCAGTACGTTTCCTAGAAACCTCGGTGAAGGAAAAATTGCAGAGTACAGAACAGATTCTGCGCGATATGCTGGGGCCTAGTCGCAAGGAACGGTGGATGTATTGGCAGAACCAAACTGAAGAACAGCAGAAACGTACGGCGGTCAAGAACGAGCTGGATAAAATCCTTTATGCCGACAAAGTACGCGCACACAGAGAGTTGCAGTTAAATAGAGCTTTATTGCATTTATTGTATGATTACAATATTCTTGATTACAGAAACACGCACCTACTCTAACGCACGACGAGCTCACAGCTGTTAGGAAGAACTTACAAAGAAACGGATTAGAGATCGATAACGAATTTATTCGAGATACATGGCATCCTGTATATAGGAGATTTTTCCTACAACAGAGTTTAGCGAGAGCGTACGATTGCAGAAAAGGATATTATCTGTACCATACCGGGCACGAAAACGAAGTACGTGAAAGGAATAAAAGAAATTTAAACAATGTATATTTACATGAGTGCTCGAATCGGACATTTTTATAGACAGGATTTTTTCAGATGGAATGTAACGACGTAGTGCTCTTCTGGCGAATTCAGCAAATGCTGAAAGTCACCGCGAACGCGCTTAGGCAACAAATTATGAATAGAGAAGCTCGTAGATTGGACAAAGAGATCAAGGAGGTCCTTGAGGATTACAGTCAAGATAACGAGATTAAACAAACGCTACTCACAGGCAGACGAGTCACATTAGCAGAGGAACTCAGTATGTATTGCAGAGAAATATCTTTATATCACTAACTATTCGCATAATTTATAAAAGTCTCTGAAATTAATTTAGAAATATGTTTCTAATATAGTAAATAATTATGTTATTATTGTTAAATTATATAATTTAAATATAAAAGTAATAAATCAATATTTAATCAGTATTGAATATTTGAATATTTTATTTCCGCTAAATTGCGCCGGTAATTAGCATTTTTATTTTCAGAGCGGGTCAGGCAGATTCAAGAGAAACTAGAGGAATTTATTCAAGCGCTAAATAAGGAAAAATGAGCGTATTAAACGGAATATCAAAGTTGAGCACCATATCGCACGTAAAGCGAACCTTTGACGCGATTCGCGATCGAATGGATGGTAGATGAGTATTTAGAGATCTCGTCTCGTAAAAAAGTGAACACACATGGCAGATTCCTCAGTTTTATTCGGGAAATCGATTGCCGATTGAAGTACTGAATTCACAAATCGTCGAGTATAGGTCTGTTTTTTATTGCTGCACTGCTGAACTAGTGCACACTAGTGCACTTAGCAGTAAGTTAGAGTGAAACAAAATGTACTTGTCCAACTCTAATAGCGTAATCGACTGGGCTGGGTTTCAGCTACCTGAGAGCAATTAATGACGTCACTTTAGCAAATCGACCAATGTTATTGCTCGATTTGCCGGAGTGACGTTAATAATGGTTCTCGGGTCGCTGAAACCCGGCCCAGTCGATTACGCTATAACTTATTGCACTAGTTCAGCAGTGCAGCAATAAAAAACAGACCAAATATTAGTGCGGGCGCATAATAGCCCGCATAAGTGACTGCCCGTGGTCTTAGTAACTTTGTGTAACATATTATATAATAGAAGAAGTCGAAATCTCTCTGCGCTCTGATACGATTCAGATTTGTAAATACGCGATATGTAATCGACACATGGAAGAATCTTATCAATATGTACAAAGATTCTTAAAATATATTGAGTAATGACATCGCAATTGTTTCCTGAGCAACCATATTTATACAAAAACGCAGTAGTAGAATATTATCATGTTAGAATCATGTTACAAAATCATGTTATAAATTTATTGTATTATTACGCGATAAATAATAGTGATAAAATGTTATTGCGACATATTGCACAGAATGTAATTACAGAAAATATATAATACAGGATGCTATTTGAATAAGTTAGCGATGCGTTTATGTGTCTGCTAATTTAAACGTTTAATAGCTTGATTTTAAAATTTTCTTTTTAGAATCCCAACAAATTAAAATATCTTTTTGTCTTATTATAATTTGTCTACGTCTAATTGGCATTCGAAAAACATTTATTTTTCAGAGAGGAATAATACATGGATACGATTTATAAGAATTTAATATTTCTGGCAATAACAAAAGTTTTTTTCAAAAATCCAGTAAGCATCTCACAATATCTCGACCAATTGAAATAAAAATTAAGATACCCCAGTGATTAGTAATTTAGTGAATGGTGTATATGTCATATAACTGTGCAAATAGATAGGTTCTTATACAAATCATGGTCCGTTTCTTTTGTCTTAAGTCGCGCATGCAAATCAGTAAATTACTAAAAATAATGAACAATGCATTTTTAGTAATTGTAACGCAGAAAATTTATAATAAATAAAGCTTTTTAAACTGCAATATTCAGAGTTTTAATCTTTTACCATTCCCTAACTATTTCTATCACATTTATTACAATAATTAGATTACATATATTTTGCTAATTATAAAAAGTTGAAATAAACATAAACAGTATACATAAACAGTATTTATATGGATTCTTTACTTGTTTATACATATAAACACATGCGATTGTTAATTATTCATTTATATATCATATATAAAAGTAATAAAAAGTTGGGAAGAAATAGTAATGCATGTAATAATAAAAAATTGTAATGTATGTTTGTAAATGTATCTTTACATATATGTATCTATATTACACTGATATATATTTATAAACGTTTTTATAAATTGCTTTAGTGAAAATAAAATTAAAACGTCTATCTAATTTTGTACACTGAAAAAAAAATTTTTTTTGCATTTTAGTAAATATTAGTTTGCATACAACTGTGACACCATTTACTAAAATAAAGAACATTTTTCTTTTTATTAGTGTATTTCTTTCTCAGTGAATACACATATACTAATAAGAAGAAAAACTTTCTTTATTTTAGTAAATGGAGTCACAATTGTATATCCAAACTAATATTTACTAAAATGCAGAGAAATTTTTTCTTAATGTATGTATATTTCATACGTACTTTTATTTCTAGATTTCAGTATACCACGCAATTTTAAAGTTATAATGTCCGGAAGTTTGGAATATATATGATTCCGTAATTGAAGACCGAGCCACATATAATTTTGTTCAATTGAGACCTATACCAGCTTACGGGATAGTTATTGCTGTAGAATCACTAGAGAAGGCGAGGCTTGGTCCAAGAAGCAAATGTGTATGCTGAATTCAAATATATCGATGATAGCCGCGATGCTATGATGTTTGATGCGAATTTTGAAAGCATGTTGCAGATTGCCGGCGACTTGTGTGGAGTTCGTTTTTCGCGGAATATATCAATTAAATTACAACTTACTTATCAACTTAATAACACACACATAATAAATTTTATTTTTTTTTTATTATAAATCTCTTCTTTTTTTTATTCTTTTGTTATTATATTTAAAATCTCTATAGAGACACAATATAAAGAAATTAGATTCTACGTTGGCTGACATGTGTTGGTTCCTGATTGAGGAAGACGATATATATATTGAACTATACTGCTAAGAAAAAGAAATAATTTTCAACTATTTTTTACCAGTTTCTTTGCAAGGTGTAATTAATTGATTTTATTTTATTATTTTTAAATAAATATGTTCAGAACAGTGAAATTTTTGTTAAAATGTTATTTTATAATTAATTTTTTAATTATCCTTTAAAATAAAGCTGATGGATTTGATCTGAAAAATGGCTCAAAATGGTCAACATTCAAATTAAAAAAAAAAAAAAATTCGATGTGACGAATGATTATAGTACCGGGGTGTTACGGAGGCACCCACAATTATCATTAATTCATCAACAAAATTAAATAATTATTTTAGTTGTGGTACTGTGTAATGAAAAAAATGTGTTCATATACAGGAAAATTTGTATTTTATGACTGAATCAAAATATAAAATAAATATGAAATAAGTTCTTTAAAGATGTGATATCAGAATTTAGTCGCGAGTTTGGAAACCGTTTGTATAGTATATATAACGAAGATCTTGGCGATAATTATATGAAAAATATCTCGCCAGTTCTGAAACAGAGAGCTAATATTATTATCGAGGACATAAACGTACTTTCCTTGATAACTTGCACATTGTGATTGCATCTGGTTCCAGTTCATCCTTATGGTTTCTATATAATTTAAAAATATTAAAAAATATATATAGGTAAATAATTTTTAATTTATACAAATATATCACACATGGTATCTTTTATTAGTTAACAATATTTTCCTCAAATTTGCAATGCGCAATGTGCGCAGGTTTGTGGAAGTATACGCGATAAATAATAAATATATATCCTTGTCTTCTAAAATACACATTCTTACACCTAATCAATTATCTCAGCAACTTATACATCCTGCTATACATCCTTCAATCTGTGACAAATAGACAAGACATCATAATTATACGAACCATAAAAATAATCATATAAATATATCCCAGGTAGCAAGCACACGTCAATTGACGTCAAAAGTCTGTCATTTTGACGTCTTTTGACGTCAATTGACGTCAAAATGACGAGTGCTTGCTACCTCGCTGGGATTGCATGATTTCTTTCAATAAATATGTCGCGTATTCATTGCACTGTATAGATCGCGTACGATTTTCAATTTTGTGAATTTCTTATCGAGGAACAACGTTAATACAACGGTATATTTAATTTGTATAACGTCATTTCAAAATCGTCTTTTCTTCCGCTCTATTATTTCCACGATTCTCATGTCGAAATTGTTCAACTGCAAATCTAACATCTCGACTATATGCTGCAATATTATGTTTCAATATTTAAATTTTAAACAAATAAATACAAAAATAAAGCCTAGTAAGTGTAACCGAAGTAAACAATCCCTCGATTTGTCTCATATATATTCAGTCCTTCATATTAGTGGCTGAAAGTCACGGCCTCTTCGGCTATCCGGTACTCTAATAAACAGACGATGTTGCCAGACAAAGGAAAATATGTGAGCAAAGGTATAAGAATCATAACTGCTGTCAGTTTACAACGGTCCGTTACAGAGGATTATACGGAGCTGTGTAGAGTAACTCTTCTAACATGGATATTCTTTCAACAAATAATGATCCATACAGCTGTGCGCTACCAGGTACTTTAATTATTTAATTAGCTACATGAAAATGACGTAAAGTATTTAAAATGTTTCTATTTATTCTTTTTTATTAAGAATATAAAATGAAATGACAAATGTTAGCACAATTCATTTGGGAAGACGAGATTCTCTTCCCGTTGTACATACATTTAATATACGTGTCTTTAGTAATTAACAATTTTCAAAATTAGATTGCTATTTCGCGACGTTAATTAACTTACAATATTCTCAAGTGCATAAACTGGTGTTAGCATATAAAGATTTGAAAATTATTTATGTATTATAAATATATCAAGAAACACGGTAGTGTCTCACGTAAATGATACCGTACGCAATTATTATGTTAATTTTAATTACAATATATCGTTTTTTGTCATGTACTTTTGTCATGTGCATTACATTTCTATATTACCAATTATTATCAATATTAACTTATATATTTTTTAAATTTCTGTACCTGTCTTAATTATTAGAACTTGCGCGTGTAACCCATACCCATTTAGAGTTGAATGTGGATTTCGAACACAAAGTTCTTAAAGGGAAAGCGATTTTGACTATAATGAAAGAATGGTCAGATGCACAGACTGTTGTGAGTATAAGTAGTGAGATATTTTTTTTTACATTCAGCAAAAATTTTGACTTATTATTGATATGTATAGTAATGCCGAATAATTATAGTTTCTGGATAGCTGCAATCTTGATATAAAAAAAGTCACAGATTATAATACTGGGTCACCGTTATGTTATGATATTGGACCTAATTGTTCTCGCGGAAGTATATTTAAGATAAAGTTGCCAAAAATAAAGCATGTAAAATGTAAAATAGAGATTGAATACCAAACAAGTGAACATTCACGTGCACTAATTTGGCTAACACCTGAGCAAACTGCCGATGGCAAATATCCTTTCCTATTGTCTAACCCCAAGGTAAACTTACAGTTAAATAGATAAATAAACAAATCAATTTATCTTGATCAACGTACGTTAAATATAGATTAAATACGTTAAATATAGATTTCAAATCTTCTAGTATACATATGCAAGAGCCATGTTCCCATGCCAAGACACACCATCTGTCAAAAATCAGTATTCTGCTAAGGTAAGAATTTATACATAGACGATATTTATATGGATTATTTACTCGTTAAATTTATACATATAAACACAGTAACACGATTATTATTAATAGAATTTATAAAGTAACGAAAAGTTTGGAAAGAAATTGTTATATGTAAATAAAATTAATTTTAATGTATGTTTGAAAATATATACATATGTATCTATATTTATAATAATTTATTTATATCTATATACATATATGTTTACATGTTCTTTAAGCTGTTTTGGTAAAAATTAAATTAAACGGTCTATTTCATGTGTCTTAAATTATTATTTCTAGATTTCAACACCAAAGAATTTTAGTGTTATAATGTCCGCAACTTTGATAGTTATAATTGAAACTCAAGACCAAGTTACACATAAATTCGTTCAAAGGAGTCTAACACCGGCTTACGGGGTATTTATTGCTGTGGGATCACTGAAGGAGGCGAAACTTGGTCCAAGAAGCATTGTGTTTGCTGAATCCAAATTTATCGATGAAAGCCGCACGATGTTTGAGAATTTTGAAAGCATGTTGCAGATTGCCGATCACTTATGTGGATTTTCTTTAGGTAAAACATCGATTAAATTACATATATTAATCAACTTAATAAAACACACACACACACAATAAGTTTTATTTTTGTAGATTATAAATTCTCTTCTTTTTTATTTATTACTTATTATTTATTATTTATTTATTTATTTATTTTTATTATTTATTATTTATTAATTATTTATTTATTATTCTTTTTATTACATTAAAATTTCTAGAGAATCAAAATATATGCGTGCTTCCACCAACTATCTCACCAAAGTATTTCACAGTACAATGTCTAAACGTGATATTTGTATCGCCATCTTTACTTCGCGGAGATATCTATTTAGTCAGTTCACTTGCTCAGCAAATCTCACACTTGTGGACAGAGTATATTGTTGTAAATTATGACCACATGTGGTTGAATAAGAGTATCGGTATGTTTATTTGCAAAAAATTTATAAACAACATGCCGATTGATGAAGAAAAGAAGGAATTTTTGCGAATGAAAATGGACCGCAAACTGGTAAAAAGCTGGGTAAAGTATTAACTTTTATTACAGATAAAACAAATAAAGTAATAAATAATGTCGAATATTATAATAATAATATTTTGTAATACATATACACACAATTAATACTCTCTCTCTCTCTCACACACACACGCACACACACACATACACACACGTTTTGGTATTCCTACTATACATTATTACCGAAAATGTATTATAGACTGAAGGATACAAGGATATCGGTAGATTACAAAGTTTAATACCCAGATTGAGAAATATTTCGCCTAATTATCTCATGGAATGTGTGCCTTATGAAGTGGGATGTATGCTCTTGGAACAGTTAGAGCATGAATTAGAATTACCATCGGTATTCGGATATTTAAAATATCTTAAAATATATTTTCATACTTTTCTATACAAAAGTATAAACACACACGATTGGATAATAAGCTTGATTGATCATGGTGTTAATTTTTGTAAGAAAGAAAAGGTGACGAAATTTTTATTCAAATATAAATTATGGTTTTATCAGTATTTATATTTTTAGTATTAGAAATAATAATTTTTGTGTTGTTTTAGATGATAACTTCTTTTGATTGGAGCATATACTTTTTTTGCACAGAACCACTTATTCCAGACATTTCAATAACCGCGTTGGAAACAGCATGTTCCAATTTAGCGGAAGAATGGATAAGATTGGATGATAATGCCGAAGATATACCTCGTAAATTCGTAGACGTAAACTCTTATTCTGATATTGAGAAGAGAGAATTTTTAAAATACCTATTTGATTCGTCTGTCGACCTGACCGTGATCAAAATGAATTTAATGTCAAATTATTTTGAGTCCCATAGCCAGAGTTATGAAATACGGTAAATATGGAATATATCCGCGTTTAGACTGATTCACATTTGCGTAATGTATAACATGCACCTATTTCTCAGGTTCCGTTGGATACGTTTGTGTATCAAAAATCGATGGGAACCTATAGTCGATACCGCCTTGAATTTCGCCACTCACTTTTCTACGCCAAAGTATGCGTGTTCTATATTTAAAGATTTATACGACTGGAAAAAAATACGTCTAATAACGATCGAAACATATATACGCAACCAGAAAAAGTTCTTTCATGAAACTCAGGAAAAAATAAATTCAATTCTGCATCTAAATATTGACATTAACAACCAAATCCCCTTTCCTTTTTATAAAGTAAGTCAATATTAACTGACATACGAAGTAATTTATTTAGACTATAACAAATGTTGTACAATTTATTGAAGAAATGTAAAAATTTTTATATCATACATATTTTGCGGGATAACTTGACTAAAATTTAAAAAGTTGTTTATTTTGTCTGTGAATTACAGGTCTGAGAATTGAAAACGAGTTGGTGCGCAACAGGATATGATGACAATTCTTATTGGATCGTTAAAAATATTTAAATTTGTGAAAAAAATTAATTATATAAAATATAAATAATTTTGTTAATAATCGATAAATAAATCTATCTCTGCATGAACATTTCGTTAAATTTTTTCCTCGTAATAAAATGATGTACAGGTTGCTTCATATAAAACATCAGAAATCCTTATAGGTGTAACCAAAATAAACAAATCCCTCGTTTTGTCTCACACACACATTCAATCTTTTATATACTAGCTGAAAGTCACATCCTCTTCGGTTATCCGGTATTCTAATAAACCGACAATGTTGCCAGACAAAGGAAAATATGTGCAAAGAAGCGATAACTGTAACTGCTATCAGTTTATAACGGTCCATTACAGAGGATTATAAGGAGCTATAACGCGTGACTCTTTTAAAATAGAAATTCTTTCAACAATTCTAATGATCCATACAGCTGTGCGCAATCAGGTACTTTAATTGTTACATGAATTTAATTAGCTACATGAATATAATATAAAACATTTAAAATATTTTTATTCATTCTTTTTTTCAAAAATATAGAATGACAAATGTTAGCACAATTCATTTAAAAAGACTTCGAAAGATGAAACTTATTTCCCCCTGTCTCACATACTTTTAACACACGTATCTTTATTAGAATTAACAATTTTCCAAAATTAGATTACTATTTCGCGTTAATTAACTTACAATCTTGTGCAAATCTTCTTAAAGATATAATAAAATGTGTTCGCATAAAATCTTGAAAATTATTTGCGTATTATAAATATATAAATAATACCGTACGCACAATGATTATGATAATTTTAATTACAATATATTGTTTTTGTCATATATTTACGTACTACATTTTTATATTATCACTTATCAATTATATATTTTTTAAATTTCTGTATTTCTCTAATTAATAGAATTTGCGCATGTAACCCATACCCATTTATAATTGAATGTGGACTTTAGTCGAAAAGTTCTAGAAGGGGAAAAGCGATGTTGACTGTAGAAAGAAAACTTACAGCTAACGCGCCAGTAGTGAGTAGATAGTTCCTTTTATATATTAAATTACAATTTTGATTTATTAATTATTATTGATATATAATACCGAGCAATAGGTTTCTAGATAATAACGGTCTGGATATAAATGATAAACGTCACAGATTTTGTTACTCGGTCACCGTTACACATTATGCTATTAGATTTAATTATCGTGGTAACATTATTGGGATAATGTTACCACGAAATCGTCTTTTCTTTTACAATATAAAATAGAGATTGTCTACAAAACAAGTGAAAATTCACTTCTCTACTTTGGCTAACACCTGAGCAAACTGCCGATGGTAGGCATCCTTACTTTTGTTTAGCATCAAGGTAAACTTATAATTAAATAAACAAATAAATAAAGCAATTTATCTAGATTAACGTACGTTAAATACAGACTTCAAATCTTTTAGTGTTTGAAAGTCAAAACGAAATATATATTATTTATATCGTGTGGTATGCAATTCAAACTCGTCGATATTCGCTGCCCGGTAACGTTCGTCGTGAGCGCGCGATCACGCGCCTCGCGAAGAGCGTCGCGCGCGATTATTCGTTAAGGCACCGCGCCTCGCAACAGTAGCACGTGCTCGACGCGCGAGCATTAGCAACCCCATAAAGAAAAACTAAAGCTTGAAAATAGAATCACGCTCCGCGCGATTGGCCGAATAAGCGCGTTCACCTGTTTTCCACGGCGCGACCGCCGAACGAAGAGTCTCGGAGCGGGCAGAAGACTTTGAATCGTCAGCTCGTTCGTACGGGAGCTGACGATCTTTGATAAAATCTCGTGTCGTGCGTTCTAAGATTGAAAATTGTTTGCGTGCGGTAAAACACTGTAGTGTTCTGTGATTTTGTGAGCTGACGCCCGTATCATTTTCGCGATTGTCCTCGGCCTCGCGATCCAAGATCTCCGTCGGCCGCGAGCAAGCAAGATCTCCGACTGCAGAACTTCAAGATCTCCGATTTTTACATCTGATTCACGGAACGGCCTTGTCAGAAGGACGAAAATCTCCGCGTGTACGCGAATTGCTCCGGGCGTCGCCTTGCGACACGAACTCTCAAGTTTTTCTCCTGCACACGATCCTTCAGCGAATCTGATGAGGATTCGCGCAATAAACGACTGTCTTTCGCGCTCATCTGTGAGCGTATCCCGGCATTTCAATCAGGACGATCTCGTAGAGATCGGCTCCCGAATATTTAGTATACATATTACATATGCAAGAACCATATATGTTTCCATGCCAAGACGCGCCGTCTGTTAAATCTACGTATTCGGCTGAGGTAAAAATTTATACATAAACAGTATTTATATGGATTCTTTACTTGTTTATACATATAAATGCGATTGTTAATTATTCATTTATATCATATGTAAAAGTAATAAAAAATTGGAAGAAACTAAATGCATGTAATAACAAGAAATTGCAAAGTATGTTCGTAAATATATTTTTACATATGTATCTATCTTACATTGATATATCTATAAACGTTTTTATAACACGCACACCTATTTCTCAGGTTCCGTTGGATACGTTTGGGTATCAAAAATCGATACGAACATCAACTATAGGTTCGTAATGATTTTTTATTCCCAAACGTGTGTTGCCTCTACTTCATCAAATATTGGTTCGATATCGATTTATGTTACTCTTTTCTACGCCAAAGTATAAACGTTTTTATAAACTGTTTTGGTGAAAATTAAATTAAAACGTTTTTTATTTTGTATGTATATTTCATACGTTTTTTTATTTCTTATAGATTTTAGTACCGAGGAATTTTAAAGTTATAACTTATAACGCAATGTTAATACTGTAAAATTCTTCGGCATTGAAATCTAGAATTGCAACGTTGGAAAATGTATCTGAAACTCAAGGCCAAGCCATATATGAATTCGTTCAAACGAGATCAATACCGGCTTATATGAGGTAGTTATTGCTGTGAGATCACTATAGAGAAGGCGAAGCTTGGTCCAAAAGAAGCAATTTGTTTGCTGAAGCCAAATTTATCGATGAAAGCTGCCGCACGGCGTTTGAGATTTTTGAAAGCATGTTGCAGATTGCCGGCGACTTATGTGGAGTTAATTTTTTGGATGAACTGGATGTAAATTTTCGGCGGTATCAAGATGCTCACTCGGCAAATCTCACACATCTGGGCAGAGTATATAGTTACAGGTATACATTATAATTTATCAATAAACATTATACCGAGACCAATTTATATAATGTTTTGTAAAGTAACATATTGAGGCCGAGGTTGTGTACGTAAGAGTCGATCTCGAGTTCGATATGTTTAATTCGTTACAAAAAAATTATAAATTGAATGCCGATTGATGAGAAAACAGAGGAATTTTTGGAAATAAAAATAAAGCACAAACTGCTAAAAAGGGTAAAGTATTAACATTGATTAGATAAATCAAATGGAGTAATAAATAATGTCGAATATGGTGACAGATAACAATATTTTGTAATATACACGCAAGAATGTCGTTTGAAACGCAAATAGATATCATTTGTACCCAAACAACCAACGACATTATTTAAGTTTACTTTATCAACAACATTACCTTTCCTATGTTTGAAATAAGTGAATATTAATTGACATACAAAGTAATTTATTTATAATAGAGAAAAAACGTATAAGAAATGTTGTACTATTTGTGAGATAAATGTGGTAAAAATAGATTTTTACGCCACGTTATTTGCAAGGCAACTTTGTTAAAATTAAAAAACTTGTATATTTTGTCTGTAGATATCCAACGACTGAAAGTGAGTCAGTTTGCAGCCACGCGTGACATCGATTTTTATTGGATCGTAAAAATATTTTACTTTACAAAAAAATGTATTAATTACAGAATCAAATAAACAATAAGGAGAGAGATTTCACCAAGCAGCCAAGCCTATGGATGAGATACGATAAAGGAAAGAAACTGGATTCTATTCTGGCTGACATATGTTGGTCCTTGAGGACGACGTTTTTAAACTGCCGCTAAGAAAAATAAACAATAATTTTCAACTATTCCTTCTTCAATTTTTTTTTTATGTAATTGATTTTATTTCATTACTTTTAAATAAAAATAATGTTCAGAAAGTTAAATTTTTATTAAAATGTCATTATTTTATAATTATGCTTTAAAATAAAGCCGAATTTGGTTTTAAATGTAGCTGAAAGTGGCCAACCATCGAATTAAAAAAAAAAGTACTTTGATGTAACGTAAACGAACTATTAGTATATATCAGTGTACTATATGGAAGCACCCACCCAACATAATCCATCAGCGAAATTCAATAATTATTTTGGCTGTAGTATACTGTGTAATTAAAAAAATGTGTACGCAGGCAAATTGTAAAAATTTGTGACTAAATCAAAATATAAAATAACTTCTTAGAAGATGTAATATCGATCAAAATTAAGCCGCGATCTTTTGGAAGCAGTGTGTATGGTATAATCATAAAATTCTTGGCAATTATAATTAATATACAGAATAATAAGATAATAATAAGATAATTTAAATGTAGCGCTTTTCTATCGCTCATATCGCACTTCATTCACTTTATTGTTACCTCTGGTAGTGACGTTCGAAAGAGATTGCCCTTCGTTGCGCTCGCGTTGCAAATCCAATTGTGGTTAATAAAATCTATCTGCATCGTGATGTTTCATTTTTATTACATTTTTCTCCCGACTGCTGCCAACCTTCGGTTGGCGAAGACGAGGGAGTATGCGTTTTACATAACAATTTTAAAAAGTACCGAATGCGTTCCAAAAATCATTGAAACGAAGCAGTCCCTGCGCACAAATATCTAGATATTTCTAATGGAGGATCCACACCGGCGTCCGACGCACACGGCACCATATGTTTGATATCCAATAGGAAAGTTCGTTTTCTAAAATTTCTAGTTAATGATTTTTTTGTTCCTAGACAATAGAATTCTCTTATTGGACGTCGGATCGTCGGACGCCGGACGCGGTATTTTATTTGTCGCGCGACAAATTTTTCAAGCGTGTTGATTGGTCACAAGATGGAAAAGTTCTCAAGTCTTTATCTTGTAGCCAATCAATACGCTTGAATAGTTTTGTCGTACGATAATGCAATAGTTGGCCTAGTTTACACCGATCTCTTGATACGCGTATCAAATAGTATATTTGAACTGATCAGCCAATAATCAGACTTATTTACTAGTTATTTACTATTTAATACGCGTATCAAGTGATCGATGTAAACTAGGTCAGTACCTTTAATTCGGAAATGCTCGTTTTCAAGCGCTGCACACGCGCGGAAGAATCTTGCTGGAGCGCAGTCCGCCGATCGCAGGAGGTCGTCGATTAAGGGGATGGCCCAGGGATCTCCCCTCGTAGCAGTGATTCCTGTTCCGTTTATTGTTGCATATGCATGCAGATTGATCTTGGCAAGTCATTCTTTGCGATTGAGTTCGTTGAATCGTATGTGTATTTTATTATCTGAGAAAAGGTAATTTCTCACTTTAAGCATCATTTATTTGACACAGGTTATATCCCCGACATCTGAGGGGGATTTTACCGCGGGATCGAGAGAAGTGGCGCGAAGCCGGAGAGGGGTCTTTATGTCGACGTTTTGAGGCTCGCGCATGTAAATGGACATTCCGGCGGAATCCCCCCCGTCGGCGAAGAAAAGGCGCACGCTGACGGAGGAGAGCAAACAGCGGCCGCTGGAGTGCGAACAGAAATTCCAGCGGCCGCTGGAATGTATACGGGAATTCAAGCTGCCGCAGCAGTTCCCCAGCACGATAGAACAGGCTCGGAAGAGCGGTATAGGTGTCAAGCCTCTCTCGTCGAATGTGATTGTGTCAGCATCCGGTCCCAAGTCGGATGTTCGAGTTCCCTATAATCTGCAGAAGCTGAGAATCCTGTCTCCAAAAGGAAGAGATCTGGGTGAGTTCAACGTAAAGCTGAAACCCGCCGAGCCGCAAGGGAGCAGCATGATTACCATCGCCAAGCTCAAGCCTGTTAAAAAGTTACTGACGCTAGCTCCGATCCCACATCCGATGTTTCCACAGAAGATACTTCCGCAGAGCATCGGAAACATTCCGAAGAAAAATTGGACACAGCTGTCTTGCGGCAGGAGCATTATTTCTTGCGTTGATAATGGAAGTGGGTTGCATCAGCAGCAATCTAAGACCCAACCGATGAACATAATACTCTTGAATGATCAAGGTATGGAAGATAATGTGAAAAAACAGATGCTTAATAGTAATATTAATATTAGTACTAAATTAATGCCAATTAATGCCAAGGCACCTTCTACGAATGGGATAAGTTCTAAACGTTCTGTGTGTCAACCTGTTGATAGCAGTAATTGTAAGTATGTAGTAATACACCGTGGAACAAGCGATACAGACGTTCGTAATTGTACAAGAATTCAAGAAACTGCTACTGAGAATACCAATGTTTTTTCAGCTATAAAAACACATTCGCATAAAGAACTTGTCAAATCACCGTGTCTCGCAAAGAGTAAGAAACTTGCAAGAATTTCTAGCGATAAGAATGACGCACCGCTGTCTGACAAAAGTTTTAAAACAAATAAGAAAAAACGTGTATATACTGCTATAAACACGGAAAATGGTTGGAAAATGATTAGGCCTTCGAGGAGTGCGAGACTTGGACAGAAATACAATCAGATTGATAAGAATTTAAATCACGACGGCTTACGTGACAACAGTAGAGAAAATTTCAACAGCAATGAAGTCTCGCACAAGTCGCAACAAAAAAGTAATTCACTTCAAGCTAAGTCTGATGTAGTTTCTAAGAGTCAAGTGCCCGAGGTAAACACACAAAATGTTATGACAGTTATACCTAATAATAAAACTCTTTCCTCTAATCAGAATGAAGTTTTGGCGCAGGCAAGTACAAAAGATGTCACGAACGTCCCAGATCTCGATACAGTTGGACGCGAGACACAGTGTGACGATACGCAAAGCGAAGGTTTGAAGGCAGAATCTCGAAATGATCATCTGGTTGTCGACGATCACGCGAGGGATACTCCAGAACCGCAACAAATTACAGACGCTGTACAATCAAATGTACAGGATGAGAATTCGTCTCGGGAAGACCTGTCGGATCGATTGAGTATAATAAAAAAAGCGATGGATAGCGTGAAGGACAATGAGCTGCGCGAGTTGGCGTTGAAGGCCCTGGCCGACTGCGGCATCGGAATCGAGAGATACGTCCCGATACGCCCGCCGGAAGATCACAAAGCCGTGCACGACACGCAAGTGCAGACCACGGTGTTTGGCCTGCTCGATCCTAATTCCTTTATATTGATAAACAAAGATTTGGAAGACGTTCACAGGCTAGATCAGGTTACTCTTCAAGATATGCCCGACAATGAAAATCGATTAGCGGACGATCCGCACTCTAATAATAATTTCGTATCCAACCCTGATGTAAGCGAGCAAGAGAGACCATTCGACGTAGATAGTTTTATGGAAGAATTTTGGAAGGAGGATACAGATGCCCTTAAAATGAAGGAGACTTTATCGATGACGAGAGTAAGATGTAATAGTCTTCTGGAGAATCTGCAAAGAGACTTTGAACGTGTTAAAGAATACGATCAAAATGGCATGTTGAATATACATAACGCCGTCGTCAGCGATAACGTCTATCTCGTTCGGAGACAATTAATAGTACTTCAGCACTGTAAACAAAGCGTCGATACATCAACTGAGGATGGAGTGGTAATTTAATTTCTTTCCTTTATCTAATCTCTCGCATTTAATTTTATCTAATTTTAAAAGACATAGATAGATAATACGTTTTGCATGCTCCGCAGACGAGTTTGGAATTGGCGATCAAGTATGACGCGTGCAGCGAGATAGTGAAGCTCTTACTCGATGCCGGAGCACAACCGGTGATATCAAGATCCATACACGAATCGGCAGTGATTATAGCCAGCAAACAATCGTCACCGATGTTGCCGATGCTCGTTAGCCGGGTCTCGAATTCGGATTTACTCAATCAAATTGATTCGGACGGTAAGATTATTTTATATATATATGTATATGCAAGTGAATTTTTGTAGAACTGGTCACCGTCATTAACGTCATCTGTTGTCTCTCAAGGTCTCGCGGCGATACATTATTGCAGTATACACGGTAATTTGGAAGGAGTCAGGGCGCTTATATCAGCCGGTGCGACTGTAGATCTGAAGGATATGAAATCGGGACGGACAGCATTGTTTCACGCAATAGACAATAGTCATACGTCGGTGACGCAAGTATTGTTAAATTCCGGTGCTGTCGCGAACATTGCGAATTACGCGGGGCAAACTGCTCTGTCCATACTTAGCGATCCGAAAAGTTTAGCTTTTAAAATGTCATTGAAAAAAGACGTGACGTGATCGTTTTCTACTTTTACTATTGTTATGAAATAACGTGCCCTCGACGAAACGTAACACCCTATCAGTGTAAAACTATTTTACGTAATATGACACGAAAATTATTTATTTGTTGGAAATAGTTTTAGTTTTAATACTTATTTAAACTAGTCAAAATAACATAACGTAATACATCTACTACTCTAAGATGACTTCAATCAAATTCCGATTAACTGTACCGGTAATTCAACCGATAAATTGTTTAAGACAAAATTATTAATATTAATAAAACGGTATAGATAATATTTTACAGATTAGTCATCGATTAAGTAATGGAAGGTTATTGAAAATCGCCGTTGAATATTTTCCAGTGTTAATACATTGTTTACATAGTAAACGATTCTTTTCTTTTGTAAAAAAAATTTGTAAAAAGAAGACAAGGAATATATTTAATTTTAACAATGCTGCAAAATTAGATTTCAATATTTATTTTTATATATGTGTGACATAAGTGCTAGTTTTATTTATTTACATGTAAATACTAGGACAGGAATCATTGATCGGACATATGGAGTTTTCCATGAGTCCAGCATCAAAATAATTAAAAGGACAAAATAAAAGCTTTTACAATCTGCTCAATATGTCCACCATTGTTCTCAATACGCGAAGTTAATTTATATCCAGTCAGAAAACGCATGATTAATGATCTCAGAGATAATGATGTTACATGCACATAATGATGCTATATTTATAGGATATTCTGCATAATAGTAGTTTTTTAAGACTATGTTTAAAATATTTGTACATAATTGTGCCAAAAGTTGCATTACATATATTGTATTATATACAATTTATGTATTTGCCTTAACTTTAGATATATGTCCATAAACGTATGTAAAAACGGAAGATGAATAGATTTCATAAGCTAGATGTATTAGAATATGTATTAGAAGAAGTACACTATGCCCAGTGTTCGTGACGATCATTGAATAGCAATTTATTAATTTTTATGCACAACATTATGTACATATTCACATTGGAAATGCGTTTTATAAAATATTACCTTTTATAAGACGATGCAGGAATGGCATAATATTTTTCTTAATGTAAATCAGTATTTTTGTATCGTATTATAAAAACTATTATATTATAATAATAATACTTGAAAATATTACTATTAAGATAATTAAATAATATAATTGATGCTGATATTGTAATTGTAATTACTGTTTAATTTAACCCTACTTATATAGCAGGGTTAAATTAATGTATAATTATTATTCATATATATGTATATGTATATAATAATTATATATATATATATATATATATATTTATATATAAGTATAAATATATATATTTATTATATAATTATAATTACAAAACAGAAATTGATGTATATGGTTTATATAATTTTTCAAAATTTAGTAATTATGTGAGTGATGTTACATAAATTATTTGATTCTAAGAAATAAGTATGAGACTTTAATGGAGCAGTCTAATTGTAAGTTCAAAATAAGGGTTAAAAGAGGAAGTAAGATAATGACTTATTTCCTCATTGATCTTGGAACCAAACAAGTTGCTCAAAATGTTTTTTTTTCTTCAAAAAACACTAATTTCTATAAAAGATACGTGTGTTACTCAAGACAAATTATCTTGTATATCTTTATTATAATAATAGTGTACATTTATTATATTTTTATTTCTGTATCTTTATTTAAATGTTATTACTTTTTTATTTATATGTCCTTATTCTTTTAATATTATAGCTAGCAATAGGCGATTTTTGGCGTGACTCTGGTATAAGTAACCAAAGGGTACCAAACTGCACCAGAACCAATAGCAACTTTGGTATATGTACATACCAAACCGTACCAAACGATCGCCAAAAATCGCCTAATATTACGCCGCGAGACAGAAAGGCGGCGCTTTTTAAAAATGCATGCAAGTCAAATAACGAGAAGATAAATCAGAGAATTTGTTGGTGCATTTGCTCTCCCTGAAAATGAAATTCATGGGCAAATTTCAATTGTCGCAAGTTTAAATTTGCAAACTCGCAAATCCAAGAATGGGAAAAACCACCGAAAGTTACTAGACACGTAAACCCCCAGTTACTAGGCACGTAAAGAGCGGCAAGAGATCGGAAAGTCACTAGAAATTCCTGGGGAAGACCAATTTGATCGAGAGTTCGTTGCCCGAATTAATTTCTTGGTCCCGTATCTTTTGAAGAAAAAAAAGACAAAGATTGTCAAGATGATAATCCGCTTATTTTAATGTAAATTTTATAAAATCTCTGCGTATTAACACATACTACGTTTACGCGAGCATTACTTCTGTAGTAACTTACGATAATTTCTTTGCGTAAACGGGATTTTCCTTCGCGTAAACGGGATTTTGTAGTAACTTACGATAATTTACTCCGCGTAAACGAGTGATATATCGTAAGTTACTACAAAAGTAACGCTTGCGTAAACGTGTAGTAACATGAACGTATAATACTATACGTTTACGCACGAGCGTTACTTCTGTGTTTACGCGGAGTAAATTATCGCAAGTTAAATTACTACAAAATCCCGTTTACACGAAGGAAAATCCCGTTTACCCAAAGGAATTATTGTAAGTTACTACAAAAGTAACGCTCGCGTAACTTATACGTAGTATAAGTATATAGTATATCAAATATGAATTAAATTTAATTGGGATTAGGACGATTTCGAGTATAAATATTAAGCTCCGATTTTAACTTGATCCAGTGATTAATTTAATCAGCACAAATGCTTAAAGGAAAAATTTGTAAATATATAATTTCCAGCCCCCGATTCAATTTTATTCTTTTCTATATTACTACGTTTACGCGATCGTTACTTCTGTAGTAACTTACAATAATTCACTCGTTTACATGAAGGAATTATCGTAAGTTACTACAGAAGTAACGCTCGCGTAAACGTAGTAATAGATTTCATACAAATAGATATGACACATATTTTCAGTTTGGCGGCAGCGCGGGCTCGCTCGGCGAGAGAGTTCGGCTCGCGCCCGCTACGCGGCGCATCGCCAGTATCCTTTTCGCGTAATTAAAATTCAAAATCGATTCCTATAACTAGGGCCGCTCAGCAGGCCCTAACTAAAAGATAAATAGGAATCACTTGAGTTGATTTTCCGCAACCTGCTGGGAATTTTTTCTTCGCAATTAAAATACTGTACGAATTAAGGTGAAATTTCATGGGCAGTGAAAAGTAGCAGCAGATCGTACGGATTGGCTACAAAATAGAGAAGTTCTAGGAACTCGAAAACTTCTCTATTTTATAGCCAATCAGTACAATCTGCTGCTACTTTTCACTGCCCATGAAATTTCACCTTTATATGATTTTTGTTACAGACGCGAATACCCAGTTACTGAGGACAGCTTATTTAGGGCCAATTTCACCAACCACAGTTAGCTTAACTTAACCGATGGTTAAAGTTAACAGAATTGACCAATAGAAATGAATCCACCCTGCTTTCTATTGGTCAATCCTGCTAACTTTAACCGTCGGTTAAGCTAACTGTGGTTGGTGAAATTGGCCCTTAGATTGCTAAAGGAAAGCAATCTAAATAAGCTGTCATCAGTAACTGGGTATTCGCGTCTGTAACAAAAATCGTATAATTCGTACACTTTTAGTTAGGGCCTGCTGAGCGGCCCTAGTTATAGGAATCGATGTTGAATTTTAATTACGCGAAAAGGATACTGGCGATGCGCCGCGTAGCGGGCGCGAGCCGAACTCTCGCCGCGCGAGCCCGCGCTGCCGCCAAACTGAAAATATGTGTCATATCTATTTGTATGAAATCTATTACTACTTACTACGTCTACGCTAGCGTTACTTCTGTAGTAACTTACAATAATTCCTTCTCGTAAACGAGTGAATTATCGTAAGTTACTACAGCAGTAACGCTCGCGTAAACGTAGTAGTAGTAATTGACGCATGCTGACGCAAAAGCTACGTCAAGCTGATCAAACTGCTGCATTAACATTTAATGGTTTTCCCAGACGGCCAACGGTCACGAGAGAGAGAGAGAGAGAGAGAGAGAGAGAGAGAGAGAGAGAGAGAGAG